GCTTTTTTCTTTTTGCTTATGTGGTGCTGAGGAATCGAACCCAGGGCCTCAGGCATGCAAGGCAAGCGCTCTACCACTGAGCCAACTTCCCAGCCCCAAAAATATTTTTCTTTAAAGAAATAAATTCAGTTCATTTGCATAGTATGTGAGAATATGATGGGGTGCTTTACTGTGGTTTTTTGAGGGGCCTGAACTCTGGGCCTAGGCTGTCCCTCAGTTCTTCAGCTAAAGGCTAGTGCTCTACCACTTGAGCCACAGCAGCTTTATCTGCTTATGTGGTGCTGAGGAATCGAACCAAGGGCCTCATGCATGCAAGGCAAGCACTCTACCACTGAGCCACCTTCCTAGCCCTTTCCTGTGTATAAGTAATATTGGAGTTTGAACTCAGGTACTCTATATATTAAATTTATATTTTATCTTTTTATTCACTAGGTTTTTGCTTTTGTTTTTTGTCAGTTTTGGGGCTTGAACTCTGGGCCTGGGCGCTGTCCCTCAGCTCTTCAGCTCAAGGCTAGCGCTCTGCCACATGAGCCACAGCACCACTTCTGGTTTTCTGGTGGTTTATTGGAGATAAGTGTCTCAAGGACTTTCCTGCCCCAGCTGGCTTTGAACTATGATCCTCAGATCTCAGCCTTCTTAGTAGCTAGGATTACAGGCGTGAGCTACCAGCACCTGGCTTCACTTGTTATTTTTGAGATAAGCTCTTGCTTCCTGCTCAGGTGAATGCCTATTTTAGGCTTCCCAGTGCAGCTGAAACCACAGGTGCACACCATCATACCCTGCTATGGGTTGAGAAGGGGATCTCATGAACTTTTCTATCCATGCTGAACTTTTCTATCCTTAAGCTTTGATCCTCCTATTTTTAACCTATCAAGCAGCTAAGATTAGAGGAATGAGCCACCACTCCCCAGCTAAAGTCTTTCATATTCTTTTCTTTTTCTTTTTTCCAGAGTTGAGAACCAAATCAGGGCCTTGCATTTGCCAGGCAAGTGCTTTTCCACTGAGCTAAATCCCCAACTTTCTTTCATATTCTTAAGTATTCAGTACTGTGTGTGAGTGTGTATGTGTGTGTGTGTGTGTGTATGTGTGAAGGGGCTTGAACTCACACAGGTCCTGGGTGCTGTTCCTGGGCTTTTGTACTTAAGGCTAGTGTTGTACCACTTTGAGCCACAGTGCAGCTTCCCAGTACACTCTCTTGTTAATAACAAATAACAATCGTTTGGCCTTCCTCCTTCCTATGTCTCACGGATGTTCACTGCTAGTATTTGGCATAATCCCTTGCAGAATGTTCCATGCACGCATCATAAATAGATGAACTACATAAATGGAGTCTTTCAATGCATATTCTTCTAAACCTTTTTCTACATTTAACTGAAGTAGATTTCTTTCTGATCTTAGATATGTAGAAAGTGCTCTCTATGTGTTTGTTGACAAATGGGGAAGACCATCCATCTTCCTTTCTTAGCCCTGTGGGGCCTAAGGTGCTGGCAGCCAAGACCATACCCCAGACCCCAGGCTGTTCTCTCCCTTGCTGTATTCTTATATGGTTCTGGCAGCCTCCACCACCTCCTCCCATGTCTTCATTAGCAGCTAATGATCCTGCTTCCTGGTTCACTGAAAAAAGTGAAGTAGCTAATGAATACCATCTGCAGGCACTTCTGTTGCCTTTGTTCACCTGCCTGCAACTGTGTCTGTGTGTCCATCTTTCCTTCTGGAGCGCTTAGGTGGCTGTCCTCGCGCCTGCTGCTCCAACTCTACCAGCAGGGCTCTGACTATCTGCCCTGTCCCCTTTCCAGTTCAAGAAGCTTCCTTGGTGGAAGTTTCCTGCCTATCTTGCATGGGCAAGCCTGTCATCCAGAGCTCACACACGTGCCCCAGCTCCTTCATAGACTAACCTTGCTCAGCCTCAGAGCTGCTGCAGTTACCTTCCCAAAGTACAGCTCCTCCAAGCAGCTGTCTTGCTTTTCTTCCCAGCCTTTTTAGCAGTTTATATGCCAGCTTCCAAACACGAGCAAAATTAGGGGCACAACTCTTCATAGGCCTAACTCTATGCCCAGATCTAAAAGCGATTATCAGAGTGTCATTAGCCCCTCTCCAGCTTCTTCAGTATGTATCCAAAGTAATAAACATGACATATATATATATATATATATATATATATTTCACAAAATAGTAGCACACTGAATAACAATAATGATCTCATACTTTATTTTTTGCTCATGTGGTGCTAGGGAATCGAACCCAGGGCCTCATGCATGCAAGGCAAGTGCTCTACCACTGAGCTACTTTCCCAGCCCCAATTTTCTTTCTTTTTTTGAACTTGGGACTTCATGATCTTCTTTCCAGCAATTTGAGCCACACCTTTATTCCCAGCTTTTTTCTAGTTGCTAGATAATCAGAAATAAGATTCTCATGGACTTTTCTGTCTGGGCTAGCTTTGAACTATGAACTTCAAATCTTTTTTTTTTTTGGTCCAGTTTTGGGGCCTGAACTCTGGGCCTGGCCGCTGTCCCTAAGCTCTTAAGCTCAAGGCTAGTGCTCTACCACTTAGCCACAGCGCCACTTCTGGCTTTTTTCTTTTTGCTTATGTGGTGCTGAGGAATCGACCCCAGGGCCTCATGCATGCAAGGCAAGCGCTCTACCACTGAGCCACCTTTCCAGCCCTGAACTTCAAATCTTAGACTCCCGAGTAGCTAGGCTTATAGGCAAACCATCAGTGCCTGGCTAACTTTCTCCATTTCTCTAGTTTGTCTTAATTGGGATCCAAGCAAGGGTCATAATTTTTATTTGGCTGCTCTATCTGAACTATCTGTAATTTAAGAGCCCCCCATTCCCCTCCCCTCCCCCCCGCCCATGTCATTTACTTGTTTAAAGAAACCAGGTCAATTGCCTGTGGAATGTTCCACATCCCACCTTGGGCTCATTGTGTTTCTGTCCATTTTCTCTTGAATCTTCTCCAACCAGACTTTCACGCCCAAATGCCCCACAGAAACTGCTTCAATGGAGTTAGTGATGATTTCCAGCCCTCATCTGAACTAACCTGTGGGTAGCATTTGACTCAGCCAGTCACCCTGTCATCTCTGAAACTTCTAGTCATTTGGTTCCCAGATCACCACCCTCTCTACACTTCCTCCAACTCTGCTGGAAGGGCAAGATCCTCTCCTCAGTGGAAATACTGAAGGCCTCAGCATTCAGTCTTTGGCTGTCTATATTATCACCTCTTCCTAATCTTGTCTAGCTTCCCAGCTTAAAATATCATTTATATAGAGTTGGCAGATAAACTCACAGGTATCTGATTTTATTGTGTTCATTATTTTTTAAATTCTTTTTTTGTGGTGCTGGAGATTGAACCCCTATCTGTTCACCTAGGGAAGTGCTTTCCCAACTGAACTACACATAGAATCTGTCTGATGTCAGAGGTTGAAAGCATTGGCCAGGCTGCCCACACACAACCTTCTCCCGTCACACTTGGGAAAAGCACAGAGGAGGGGAATGGGACCCAAACTATTAACAACAGCCATCAGCCCATTGAGGATTCAGTGGTTATAAAGACCAATCAATCCGGGGCTGGGAAGGTGGCTCAGTGGTAAAGCGCTTGCCTTGAATGCTTGAGGCCCTGGGTTCAATTCCTCAGCACCCATAAGCAAAAAAAAAAAAAAAAGCCGGAAGTGGTGCTGTGGTTCAAGTGGTAGAGTGCTAGCCTTGAGCTGAAGAGCTGCGGGGCAGTGCCCAGGCTCAGAGTTCAGGCCCACGACCGGACCCAAAATAAAATAAAAAAGGCCAATCAATCCTAAACCCCCAAATAAATGTAATGTTCACAAATGAAAAACAACAGGAACAAGTCCCTAATTCTAGCTACTTGCGAGGAAAAGATTTATGGTTCTAGACTAGCCCCCGCCAGGAGGAGAGGCACTTGACCAATATAAATAAGCCAGGCCTGCTAGGACATAATCAACACACACACACACACACACACACACACACACACACACACACACACACACACACAAATCAACACAAAAAAGGCTGGAGAAATGGCTTAAGTGGTAGAGCACCATCCTTTGCATTATTTGAAGACAATCAGGAGAGTTTGCATGTGGACTAGAAATGCTTGATAGATCAAAAATGTATTCACTTGCAAAGGTGGTGCTCTCTAATTGGGGCTAGAAAGTTACAAAACCTGTTTGCTGTGAATTCATTAAGAACACACACACACACACACACTATATATATATATATATCATCACTGAAACTGACAGGAAAGGGCTCACACTATGGCATTAATGGCAATCTCTGAGTGATAATGATATTTTTCTTGTTTTCCTCCTTATATCTGTAGTCTCCAACTTTTTTTGGCAGTTATGCTGTTTTTGAATAATAAAAGACTACATTAAAATTCAAATAAGTCTAAAATCAAACTCCTGATTTTGCCCCAACCTTCTCTATCTGCTGTCCTCAGCTGTGTGAGTGGCTGTTTCTTTCTCCTTCAGAGGCTCAAGTCAGAAATCTGTAGTCAGCTGAGCAATGGTAACTAGTGCCTGTAATCCTAGCTATGCAGGGGCTGAGATCTAAGGATCATGTTCAATGTCAGCTTGGGCAGGAAAGTCCATGAGACTGTTATCTTGTCAATTAACCATGAAAAATCCAGAAGTGGAGTTCAAGTGGTAGAGCACCAGCCTTGAGTGAAAAAGCTAAGGAACAGTACACAGGCCTAATGCACAGGCACAGTGATAAATACCTGTTACATATACTTGTCATGTTGAGACTTCAAGCCTCAGGACTAGCACAAAACAAAAAAAGAAAGGTGCCTCTGTGAAGTTCCTCTCTTTCTTTTCCATCCCATCTTCGTGGCTCATTGTGAAGCGTAATATTTACACAAGCTGAAGCATGGGAGCTAAGTGGAATAATCTATATGGCCAGAGAACCTTTGTAATGGTGTTCAGCAACCGCAGGCATCTGGCACATGACAATGACACGTCAGGTGTCATTTTAACCCATCAGATACGCAGAGATTCCGAAGGATGATGAAGCTCAATGTTGGGAAGGGTGGAGAGAAGCAGGCATTTTCATGCATGCCTTGCAATGTGATGACGGGTGTCTTTAGAGGATGGGTCATTTAATGAACAACCTCTCTGGCCTCTCCCTAGTCCCTTTGCTGGACCTGGGGAAGAAGCTGAAGGTACCCCAAGACCTGATGATAGAGGAGCTGTCACTGCGTAACAACCGGGGATCCCTCCTCTTTCAGAAGAGGCAACGCCGTGTGCAAAGGTTCACTTTTGAGTTTGAAGCCAGCCAGCCAGGGGTGAGTAAGCCTCCATTATGTGCATTCATGGGGAAACTGAGTCCACTGTGGTTAGCTTGACACCAAACACTGAGCCAGGCTGGGTCTCTGGCCCCCAGAGAGCCCTTCATTTTCCAACTGGGGAGACTGTGGTGTCCCCATTAGATTGAGCCCCTGCTTCACCATGTGCTGTTTGAGGAGTCTCCCCATAGAGATCTTCCCAGACCCAAATCATAAATCAAGTCAGTACTAGGGCTCCAAACATGCTGAAGAGCAGCCATGTGCTCTTTGCAGCAGGCAGGATATAGGTCACATTTTAGCTTGCCTTTAGAATGCCTGCCTTGGTTCTGTGGGGTGATCTGCTACTAGAGGAAGAAGGCAGGTGTGGCTTATTTCCAGGCTTTGAAAAGGCAGCAGTCAGATTCTTGTACTTCCAATGAAATCAGGGGCATCTCACCCATACACCATTCCATTTCTGGGCAACACAAAAGGGACAAAGTGGGGGAGAGGAAGAGAGGGAAAGACTAGGGGAGGAAGGGGGAGGAATGGCAAAACAAATGCAGCCCAGACAGTGCTTAGCCAAGTACCATCACCACCAGCCCTGCTTTAGAGAAGAAAACCAAGGAAGTATCTTGTCAGACTCCATATTACAATAGCAATGAATGTATAGTATTTTTCCTTGCTATAAGCACTGGGCTCTTCAATGTAAAGAATAACTTGTTCTCCCACATCCCCTGCTTGTGCTCTCTCTCTCTCTCTCATACACATGTCATATGTATACACATATATTATATATGCATATATAATACACACACACATATACACATATATATAGCACTTGAGCCACAGCACTACTTCCAGCCTTTTCTGTGTATGTGGTACTGAGGAATTGAACCCAGGTCGTCATGCATGCTAGGCAAGCACTCTACCACTAAGCCACATTCCCAGCTCTCTAGGACTGTTTATTGCCAGCAAGGGGTACAAACCTTCCCCCAGGTATCGGGGTTGTGGGAGGGATTGAATTTGGGGCTGAGTTTATGTGTGTCTTAACAAGGAAGCAGAAAATAAAAAAATGGGCTATGCCCAGGGTGGTGTCCTTGATCAGGTCCAGAGTGGAATGCTTGCTTGGCCTGGGGTGGGGGTGAGGGGACTGAGCCCAAGTTGCCTGCCTGCTGGCAAGCAGGTGGGCAGGCGCCTGGTGCTTTGCTGGACCTGGGGGAGTAAGACGGGAGTCAGTCCTTCTAGTGAGATCTATCTATCTATCTATCTATCTATCTATCTATCTATCTATCTATCTATCTATCTGTCTGTCTGTCTGTCTGTCTGTCTGTCTGTCTGTCTGTCTGTCTGCCTGTCTGTCTGTCTGTCGTCTGTCTGTCTGCCCACCCACCCTCAGTGTTTGTCTTTCTCTGTATTTCTGGAGAGCGGGTGTGGAGGTAGAGCCTGGCCGCTTGCTCCGCTGAGTCTCTCGGCCGCTCCTTTGCCCACAGATGGTGGCCGGAAGCGCCGAAGGCAAGGTGACCGGAGCGGCGTCTGGGGCGGTGAGCGCGGAGGGAGGGTGTGGCCGAGGAGCGGCTGGGGGGAAGACCGGGAGGGCGGGG